CTGCTCCAACAATAATTGTAGCTGCTCCAACCACTACCACACCTGCTCCAACCACAACTACAGCTGCTCCAACCACAACTACACCTGCTCCAACCACTACCACAGCTGCTCAAACCACAACTACAGCTGCTCCAACCACAACCACACCTGCTCCAACCACAACCACATCTGCTCCAACCACAACTACACCTGCTCCAACAACAACTACAGCTGCTCCAACCACTACCACACCTGCTCCAACCACAACTACAGCTGCTCCAACCACTACCACACCTGCTCCAACCACAACTACAGCTGCTCCAACCACAACTACACCTGCTCCAACAACAACTACAGCTGCTCCAACAATAATTGTAGCTGCTCCAACAATCACAGCTGCTCCAACAATCACAGCTACTCCAATCACAACTACAGCTGCTCCAAACACAACTACAGCTACTCCAATCACAACTACAGCTGCTCCGACAACAAGCACATCTGCTCCAAACACAACTACAGCTGCTCCAAACACAACTACAGCTGCTCCAAACACAACTACAGCTGCTCCAAACACAACTACAGCTGCTCCAACCACAACCACATCTGCTCCAAACACAACTACAGCTGCTCCAAACACAACTACAGCTGCTCCAAACACAACTACACCTGCTCCAAACACAACTACACCTGCTCCAACAACAACCCCAGCTGCCACAACTGCAACCACAGCTGTAATAGTTACTTTTCAAATCTATGGTGTTTCAGCAGTTATTATAGAACCATTTAATGATTCACTCAAAGATCCTAACAGCAAACTGTTCCAAGATCTTGCTAAAAGAGTGTGTGCCACGGTAAGTGTTATTTTGACAGTTTCTTGTTATGTAGTATACATGAGATCTTTTTTGTTTTATATGTTTCTCTGATTTGTTTAGTCTCATGTTTGCCTTATCAATTATTCCACAGTATGATGCCATATAYCGTCCAAAATACCCTCAAACCTACATGGGTTGTTTTGCCCTTTCATTCAGGTAAAGTTTTATCATCTTAAAACTAATTTTTATAAACCAAGTATGGTTGATATTTGTTACATACATCATTATTAATTAAAATAAATAATTATTTATTTTACAGTGTTATAATTTTTGACATTTATTTTCTTTATGTGTAATTTTGTTTTAGTCCAGTCCAAATACGATTGATGGGTACTGAAGTAAATGTGACCATAACATTTAATCRAACCACACCARCCGCCCAAATCCCAACAGCTGCAGAAGTTCAACAAACCTTAGTAGATGCTGTGACTAATRCCAATGCCACCTACAATGTTACATTCCAGCCTGGCTCCATCAAAGTTGAAGGTATGTAAAAAGTGATCAATCACTTTAAAAAAAATAGGAAAATGTAGCTATCATAAAGAAATGTTTGTAACCTATGCATTTGCATTTACTTTACCTTTTAAATTTTAACAAAATCTTTCTATTTTCTTATGTCACCCTTTTTTGTTTCTGTACTGAAACAAGTAAACACCAATGTAAGAAGTCACCTAGAAGTACTTTTAGTTTTTGTTTACAACTCTGGAGATTTTTTTTTCTTGATTTATGAATAATCTATAATAACCTATTTATGTTAAATGTGAAGAAATGTGGTTTAGTTGGTTATCTTTTAACCTATCAAGTTTTGTATCCTTTATTGTTTGTTTTTTCAAAAGATGTCTAGAATTTCCATTTATCTTTCATTTTTGTGTTTTCAGTTCTGCTTGTAACAACAACTGTAGCCCCCACCTCAATTGTTACAGTTTCTGGAAATACAACATTAGGTGTTACAGCTACGACACCTGCAAGTGCAACCACTAATGCTGCCATTGTTACTACTCATGCAATCAGTCATGCAACCAATGCTTTGACCACAGCTTCATCTGCAACAAATGTAGCTCCTACTGCTGAGGAAATAACAATAAAGCAGGTGAGGTTTACATCTCCTGGAGAGACGTGCACAACTGATTTGGGGAATCCATCATCTACAGCGTTCAAAAATCGCTCTGCAATTATAAAGTCAGAGGTACGTATGTTTGCTAAATCCTAACAGCAGCCAAACGTTTGCATGACATGAAAGACGTGTAACAGAAGCATACCTAAAATAGAGTTTTTTTTTAACAAACACATAAATTTGACCTTTTTGCTGCAATGTTTTGAAGCACAGGAATAAAATTAATGTTTCATTTTTTCTGCAGCTCGAGCCATACTACCGACGGCCATTTACTACATTCCGCTCCTTGGATGTGATTATGTACAGGTAATTTGTTACTGCATGCTGATAACATTTTTTGAATATTGTTCATGAATTTTTACCAATAAAATGGACTTCTTTCATTTTTACAGCAATGGATCAATCATCAACATTATGGATCTACGGTTTGCCTCAACATTTGTTCCTAATAACACTGAAATTGSAAAAGTCTTGGCTGAAGCAGCTCGGAACATCACGGCCTTCAAAATTGATCCAAACACTATTTATGTGGATGGCATACGTAAGCAAACAATTTATTCAGGAACTAGGAATTTATACAAATTACAAAATATGTGCAGTAATATTTAACAGTTTTTTAAAGTAATTTTTTTCCTTTCGTTTTTTTTTTACATTTACAGAATACTCAAGTGGAGTAAACCTCAAGATGAGCCTCATCACAGCGTTCTGCATGGTGCTGTTGTCATGG